GACTAAATGTCTTTGAAGTTTGTCTCCAGAAGGGATGATGGCCTGCTCTGCCCAGGAACAGGACAAGGCATCAGCAAACTATTTAAGTGTTAGTGCTGGCTGTGTTACACCAGCCAGCTGTACTGGAGGAGTCTTTTATCTTTTTCCTTTGTTGTTCATTCCAGTGGGATGAAATCTCATCTTCATTATCTAAAAGTTCATGCCCAATGACAAAATATTGTAAGCGTTTGAAAAGGTTTTAAAAAAATGACAATAAAATAGAAAACTCTCTTTGATAAGCCTGTTTAAAAGGACTGTGGGGAACTAAAATACAAGGACCTTGTAAAAGTACTTGGTATATTCGATGACCACTCAAATCTGACTTTTCCTAGTAGAGTATAACAAGTTGGGTTTTCTTGGCCTTGATTGCACAATGGCTTACATGGCAACACAATTGTCATTTCAGTCCAGTTTGTAGTTGATGAGCCTCCTCTTTCCTGGCACTATCAACAGAGAACAAAGGATTGAATTAGCAGAGAGTCTTAAGCGAAAATCCTGTAATTATTCTCTGCAGATGAGAGATGAAGAGTAGAATAAGCAAAATGGAAGAGAGATGGAATAAGCAATGTTTCATCATCAGTGCCCATACTGAGAACAAACAGAAGGTTTCCAGTAATGCTACTTTCACTCAATTAAAATTCATTACAATGTTTTCTTAAGTGATATTTTATATGTATTATATTTTATTGTCATTATGACTTATATATCTGTCCTTTTCTTCGAGATACAGTAGAAAATATTAAAACGATCAAGTTTGTTTCTCTGTTGCTGAAGCTTTACAGACTTATTATGGGGACAACAAAACACATATCTCAGATTGTGAATAAAAAAATTCTAAATGTATCCATTAACTCCTGATCTGGAGCTTTTAAAATAGTCTTTGAGTGACTTTACAGAACTCTATTGGAACATCATCACAGTTACTGGATCTTCCTTTTTGGGTTTTGTTAGTCTTCTTTTCCAGATACAAAAGCCTGTGCTTTTGGTTGCTTTTGTTTAGGATAGGATTAGGTTAGATCTGAGATCAAATGTGGAGTAAAAATATAAACCATTTATTGAAAGTAAGGGAAAATTTCTTTTAAGAATGTAATGCAGGGGCTCTTATGGTGTTATACCTGCAGAACAGGTTTACCTTGTGGGTCACATTTTTTCTAGGCTATAAGACACTTGGGATCCAATTGCAGTGCTTTGACTACTATGGTGGCACAGGCTCAGTGTTTTAACCTCTTTCTTCTCATTTCCTGGCTTCTTTTTCTTTTCTTTAAGTCTCTGCTCTGGCCTTTGTGTGATTTCAGGGCATACAAGGACCCATCTTTGATTTGAGATCCCAGTGTTGTACTATAAACAGTTGTTAAAAATACTGCAATAGCAAAGTACAGGTGACTGGTACAGCTCTTTGTCATTCCTGAGTCAGTCTCAGACACATTCCAGCACTGTATCCTCAGAAAAGAGCTGGACTGGGCACAGAGAGCTCTCCTCATGCCCCTCAGACCTTTCAGAAAGGAAGAGCCGAGCAAACAGGGCTCTGAAATGCTCACTTTCTAGCTGCTGTATGTTAGCTCATGGAAGTCTTAATTGTTATATTTCACCTGTGCATCCAGGAACCTCTTACCTTTGGGTAATCAGAAGTTTAGATTAATTATGCTAATCAGCTAATCCAGGCTGACACAATTAGCCAGAACAGGCAGTATCTCTGGAAGTCTGTACAGGATCTTTCCTACTTGATGACTTTAATTTCATGATCCAGTGCAGCAATTATAGGAAAAGAGAGAGCTCTCCATTTGTTCTCAATCATTCCACATTTCCATTAATTGTCATAACACTTGCCCCAGATCCTGGGGTCCTTTGTCAGGCTGCTGGTGCACTCGCTGCTCTGCAGGGATTTTTGTTTTCTGTTATCTCTCAACTCAAAAGGTGTGTTTGTACACAGTTAGCAAACATTTAGCTGAAGCACATTTTTGTTAGACTCATCAGAGAAAGGTGCCAGGAAGCTCTCCTGTGGATGTGGCTACTGGAGCGATGGATCTGCACGTGGCAGGGTAGATGGAGCTTGTAGAGCTTAAACAGGCAATTAAAGTGTAGAGAACACAGAGAAGATCAATGTGAAAAGCTAATGAAAACTCACCTAACCCAGTGCTCTGTGAGAGTGTGAGGAAATACTTCTGCTGCTGGTTTCTAAACAGCCATGACATCCTCAAACACACCTTCCATGAGGGAGGATATATTCCCATGGAGAGGAAACCCTGCTTTCCTCTGTTCCTGTCCAGTGTGGGCACTTGTGCTTTAGCTACTGGGAAGCCACCTGTTCTGCAGCAGCAATCTGAATGGAGAGCAGCAGCCCAGAGAAGATATTGCAGTTTGAGACGTGAGATAATAAGACTCTTGACAAGAATTTAGCATGTGTATATTTAAAGTGATTAATGTTTAATGTAGTGATATTACAACTCGAAAAGGAAGAGAGGTAGTAAAGGAAACCAGTCAAATGATTCTGCACAGTGACACTGATCTAGCTTTGAAATTCCTTAAAAGGATTACACTCTGGTTTAATTAAATCCTTTGCTCTCCCTAACATTGCTTAACGATTTTTAGTATCTCCCTAGATTTCTAACATTACGGAGAAGAGAGTTATGAGTCAGATCACTTTGTGTATTGAGTTTTAAACATGAGCCATGAATCCCTGAAATCCTTTGTTGTTTATGCAGAATACATTTTACTCTCCCCACTTAGGGTTTAGTCATCCTTTTCATAGGTCTTTTGATGAATGAGGTCATTAAAATTAACACAATATTAAAATAGCTGGTCTCAGTAATTATGATGTTTAACCATGTTTTCTCCTGAGATTAAAAACTCTGTTCATTTTGTCTTCCAATCCAAGAACTTTACCAAGCCTTATTTATAGCAGCCCAAAGACTTGTAGCTGGGTATAGCTCAAGGCAGCCACACTATTCTTGTGTATCAATGACATCCTATGTTTCTATGGTGAAGTAACTTTTAATACTCTCTCTTTCACTCGTCATCTCACATTTAAATATGTTGCTTGTTTTTTTTTTTTTTTGGTAATAATTTAAATATGTTTCAGTCCTTCCTAATGCTAATAGGTATTTTGTTTGATACTCTCATTAAGTTTTCCATTAACAAATCCTATCTGTCGTATATTCCCACCTACCCATTAACTGAGTCACTGTATGTTGACACATATTGTGTGAGGGGTTTTATGTAAGAAGAACCAAAAGTTTTGAGAATAATAAAATAGGGACTGAGGTGAAATTTATGGGAAAAAAATTTCTCTTTAAGTGTTCCAAGTCTTCTGCTCTAGTTTAATAAGGTGACCGGGACATGCTGGAACAAGAGAACTGCAGTTAAAACTTTGTGCCTCTGAACAGTGGGGAATATATTTAATTCCCTGTATTTAAATGGGCCACTTTTGTAAGCTATTCCTGTAAATATTTCCTGAGCACTGCCTACAGGTACCTCTAGGGAAGAAGCAAATTGGATAGGAATTGGGTGGTGTTCGTTACTTGCCTATTGTAATTCAACAATGCAGAAATCCTTTAAAGGCAGAGCTCCTGACTGTGCAGCAGATCCCTGCCGAGCTGGAGGGCACTTGGCAGAGCCCCCTGTGCCCTTGGCTGTGTTCAGGTATCTCTCAATGTCTTGCTGACTGACAGGGGGAACTTAGTTAATGGGAAACACCACTTTTTGATATCTGTGTTAACCATTCTTAGTGAAGGAGCACCCTAAAAGCTTTTGGGGAAGAGCCTTTTGAAAGAGCTAAAGGCTTTTGGGTAGAAGCTTTCTGAGTTTTCATGGTATGCACTACACCATGAGATTCCCAGTTCTGAGAGTAACCAAACCCTCAGCTTCACTTGGGAGATTTATCAAAAGCTTTTTGGTTTAAGTAACAGAACACGAATAGAGAAACAAAATGGAAAATATATTAACACCATATTTAACATAAAAAATATAATTATTGGATTGGGGATGCTTAGCTGATTTTTGTGATAGCTGCTCAGCTTCTTAGTCACCTGCCTCAAAGAATTTATAGGGGATTTTCACTTACCATAAGTGGTGGTTGGACCTAATGAGAGGAGCTGGTGTTTGCAATTGGCCCTTTCTTTAACCTCAAATGCCAAGTCCTGCTTTTTCCTCTGTTCCTCTTTACTTTCCCCTTATCCTCTGAAACTGGGAGTCAACATATCTTCTGCAGAAAGTTGTAATTTCTTCCTCTTCTCTTTATTAAGGCTTTATGATTAAAATCTTTCAAATGTCCTAGTTAGCATTTTTTTGGCCCCAGGATGTTTTTTCTTGAGACTGCTTTCAGAAGAAACTTTTATAAAGCATACTGTAAGACCTCCTTAAAAGTGCAGCTTTCTCACTGGCGGTGTCACTGTTCTTCCTCTGTGAACATCATAAAAAAATTAAACGTAATGCCACAGAGAATGAAAATGGTGGGAGACCCCACACTATTTTTAAGGAAACCATTCTGGAAGCCCTTTGTGCTGTTTGTTTTTAAGTCTTTTTTAGGCCATACCAATCTTCTTCTTACTCTATTTATATAGTACATCTTGAAAAAAGCTGGATCAAATGTTGCAGGAACTCTGCTAACTTTCTTTCTCTGCAATGTCTTCTGTAATCCTTCTCTTGGCTGAGATGGGTAAACTCTTCTCCTGGGCAGTGCAAACTGCAGCACACTGTGAGCTAATTACCTTACATTAGCCATTTCAGAAATTACTGGCAGCTAATCTTCAGGAAGCTAATCAGTCACAAAAAAAAGGCATCCAGCAAATAAATACCACACATCTTCTGCTTGAAACAATTAGGACTGACCCTAATCTGATTTAAAGAATTGGAGTGCTTCCAGAAAGGGAGCAGTGTGTGGCTGCCTTCACTAATTCCATAAAGCTCTCGTGGATTTTTAATTGACCCATCTTCTTGATGCACTTTGTTGTTTTTCCTTTCAGATTTCTCTGAGCTTGAATTTTCAAAAGCTGTTATAAATCCAAGGTAATGTCAGCTTACCCTCTTCATCAGTTAGTGCTAGCTTTTAAGGCTGCTGTTCCAAATACATAATAAATTTCAAAAAGTTATTTTAAATATTTGTGGGTTTTGTGGTTTTGGTTTTTTTCCTCATTTCACTCATGCTTGAATTTTGGAGAGAGTGAGAATATTTTCCTTTCATATTGGCTCTCTCCTCCTCCTATTCCCTTAAAAATGTCCTGATTCTGCTATGCTGTTGATGTGATTTTAAAAATTATATTACTTCAAACAACAAGTTTCCTGGTTTTGCTGCTTATGCTGCTTATCACTGAAGAAAGTAAATATCCAGAATTCAAACTACTTAGAAATAATTTAGCACCAGTACCTTGCCATGTTAATTAATGTCCTACAGGACACAACTTTGCAAGTAGTTCAAAGGGAAATTCTGCAGAAATAGGTATATTTTTAATACAGATGGCATAAATCAACCTAATCTAAATGCCTCCAAACTTCAGCAGGAATGATTAATGGCTTTTTTCAGGGTGCTTTGAGACTGACAGGGAAAATGCTATAACTGAGTGTTGGTTCTTCCACAGTTGATTTCCAAGTGGGAAGGTTGGTCTGGGGTCAAAATGGCTTTTTTTTTTTTCTATATTTGAAGCCAGTTATGTAGAAGTTTGTAAATGTTAGATCCAGAAATCCAGGTGCCTTCAAAACCCTGAAAACACTCTGAACTCTGTGATCATTTGTGACAATTAAAAAACAAAGAAAGCAAAAATTGAATAGAAACAGCATATTATGTATTGTCAGTCCAAAATGAAATCTGGGGGGATGCTCTGAAGACTGGCTGATAACAGTCAAACCCAGAAAAGTACATTAATATTGCAGCTAGAAATGCTGCTCTGAATAGTGTGTGTGACAAGATCGATGGAAGATATCAAATGATTGCTGAACTCTAAGCTTCCGTTGAAAAAAAGAATAAAAGAGCTTCCAGCTCATCTCCTTGATGGTATAGGAATGTCACTCATAAAATGATCACTAAGGAAGCTTGTCAGTGAAAAAGGCTTGTGTATGCTAATTAATTGGATTAATCATTTGTACATTGGCATATTAAAATAAGCAGTGGAATCAAAGCTGGAAGGAACTTCTGTTGCCCTTTTTATTTTTTTTTATCTCCCCTCCTCTCTAGATCCTCTCACTGCCCCCTGCTACTCACCTCTCTCCCTGGGCCACTGGCTGTGGATTACAAATCTCACTGGGGGTTTGGGTAGTAGGGTTGCATGTGATGAATTAATCTCACAGAGTTCTCTGTTGACAGCACATGATGTCTGTGACCTGAACCACTGGGTGCTGGTCACTGTGGTAACTTGTTAAAACTAGGTTAGAAATCCAGTTAAAATCCACTAAACCCAGATGTAACTGGTCTGCAGTTTGTGTTTGAAGAAGGGATCCAGTGACAGGCTCTGGCTGCTTTCTGCTTTGTTTCTTGTTTTTCCCTCACTTTTTATTCTTATGCCTTGCACATTTCAAATGCACCCAAGTGATGTGGAGCCTATACACTGTTTTTCCAAAGAGTGTCCCTGTGGTGTTGAAAATGTTCTGTGCAGTGCTGTTCTCTGGTGATTTCCAGAGAAGCCCAGAAGAACCACTCAGGATACACACTCCAGGCTGCTGACTCAGCAATGCAGGCCTTGGAGAGTCCTTTCCCAGAGATAACTTCTTTTTCCTCTCTCTCTTCCTTAATTTGGCTCTCAATACCTGGCTCTCATGCTAAAAAATGCCTTTTCTCAAGTGAATGAACAGTACTGCAAAAGTTCTTTCTAAACCAGTGAGTTTACTGTGTATAATTTTCACCATCCCATATATTTTCTTGCAGCCCTGCAGTTCTACACTGGAAACAGAACCACGTCATACCTGAGATGAAAGGATTTTAAGCCAGCTGCACAGTTGTCTTCTACAGTAAGTTCTCTTCTTATGTCAAAACAGCCATCACCCTCTTTGCTGAAGTTTCCACAAAGCAGGCAGGTCAATGGCTTGGAAATTCAGTAAAGCTGCTCTTGGATTATTGGGTTATTGCTGCAAATTTGCTGCTGTCCAATTTGAGTACACTGTAATTGCTACTTTCCACTGCAAGTAGATTTCTCAGTGTCAGAATAATCAAATTAACAGGGATGACCCTTAAACTATTTATTGATGCCTCTGTTGTGTTTTCAAAGGTCTCATTTTTTAATTTGTCTTACATATACCAGGTTCTTATTACTGCTGTTCGTTATGCTAAAGCATCTAGTTGTGTATTGATTATGTTCTAAAATAACCCACATCCCAAACGTCCCATAGTTTAATTTAGACTATAAGAAAAGGGAAAAAAAACCCGAAAGAGAAGGAATTACTGCAATAAAAGAGTACAAAGTAGAATATAAAGAATCATAGATATTGAGGGAGAACTATTTTTGATTTACATAGATAATTAACATCTCATTTTACATTATGATGTGTAATTACTTTTGCATGCAGGTAGTAGCATATAGGAGGAAATCCAGCGGGGTTACAAGGCTTACCCAGCAGTCTTTGTAATCCACGTTGGAAGCAAATGCCAGTGCCTGGAGATGCAGCAGAGGTTTAGGGCATGGTTTAGGGAGCTGCCTGCACATCCTGCTCCTCCTTAAGCAGCCAACAGCTGGAGCCCCACATGAGTCTTAGCTGGTGTGACACTCCTGAGAATTAGTGCAAAATCATTCCCAGTTTATGAGCTGGGATAGGCCAAGGTGGTTCCTGGCAGTGAGAGTGAATGGGGATGAAGAAGCGGGAAAGGCCTCTGTGGGAAAAATGAAAAACTTAATTTTGCTTGAAAAAATTCATTTCTGTTGGGTGAGAAAGATGCAGAAGGGCTGTGGGGGCCGTGCTTTGCCTGCTTGACTCTGGAAGCACAGCCAGGTACTTGATTCCTGTGTGAATCCGTGTTGTGGAGCCATGTGAACCTCCTTAGTGAGAGCTAATTTGTTATTTGGCTGTATCTGTACTTCTCCATATTACTGCTGTATTTTCTTATGAAAGTTTTTACTTTAAAACCATAATTTTTCTTCCCTACCAAACAGCTCCCACGTGTGTGATTGGATACCATATTGCCTCACTGTTTTTCCCAGCTGGAATAGCTGCTGTAAGCAATTGGGTTGCACTTGGGCTTGGTATAACTTTTGGAAGTAATGGCATTCCATGACCATATTAGGATTTTGATGCACGCTCATAAAAGTCAAAATAAACAACCTTCTGCTTCACTTTTTACTTTGGGATTTTAACCCTCTTGCCAAAGTGAAGCTGAAATGGCTGACACAACCTTGTGCTCACAGGAAATTTCATCAGAAAAATAAGAAAAGAATCACAGTGCTACTGTTAAACATCAATTTGAAATTAATTCTGGTTGCTTATGTTCTTTAGGATATCCTTTTTCCATTAAATATATTTTGAAAAGTAACAGTATAATCCCTATATATGCCTTCTAGCTCAGACTATCCTGTGATTCTTTGAATATTAGTAACAAAAGTTTAGAGGTGAGAATAAAATAGATTTTTATTTTTTTTTAAAAAAACTTCTTAAGAAACTTTGTGACATAGAAATACATGTTAGACTGCTTTGGAGAGCTTTTTGATTTTTTGAATTAGATTTATTTTTGATGGGTAGTATTTTCCACATCTGTATTTACTGCTTTAATATTTGATTTAAAGAAAACTAATTTGTGACAAAATAAAATAAAATTAAAAAAAAAAAAACAACAGAAAAATGGATGGTATAGATAACAGGTAAAAACCTTTTATTAAAACTTACATGCTGTTTTATTTTCATCAGTGGTCTAAATTCAACATACACAGAAGTTCCTCAGGCTCCTATCAGGGGAACTGGTGATCTCACAAATATTTTCAAATATAATCCCTAAATTGTATGGACAGAATGTCCAACTGGTAATAGTAACTAGCTCTTGTGTTTTAATTTAAGTGTGCTCACATTATTTCAGTCCCTGTATAGATTCATGGAATGTTTTTCTACCAATGGGAAAACAGTTTCTGTACACATGAGAGTTACATATTTGGGGGGTTTTTTTGAGGTGGGAAAAAAACCTTTGAATGTAATCTTTGCCTCCAAATACACTGTGGTCCCAGAGGCTGCTCTGAAAATGGTCACATTTTTCTGACAGCTGTTCAGTCACCGTGAGCGTGTCTTCAAGGGAAAGGCGCTCACTTCCAATTGGCAAATTTCTAATATTAGGTTTCAGACTATAAAAAACCTCACCCCCAAACTCTTTTTTCCTTCACTGCTTCTTGTTGATAAAATCCAATCAGCCCAGAGGGAATTTATAATTCAGCAATTGCACCAGCTGATTACTACCTACAGGAGCAATCACTTATCGTACATCACCTGTGGACTGATGAACCATTTATTATCAAGGGTTTAATTGCTTCTACTACATCCTTGTGGCAAGATACACACACGCATATACCTACTTTATATATATGTATGAGTGCATGCCACTTGGCAAGGATGGAAAATGTTCAGCTCAGATTAGATTTTTGCAAAACAAAAAATACTCAAATTACCTTAGGAATTCTTGAATCTAGAATACAGGGTCACAGTGTGGTCACCCCCTTCTGGGTCTGGTTTAGGACAACTATCAAAGAAGACAGAGAAGCAAAGTGTGTGCGTGTGTGTGCTCAGGGTATTATTTATTTACTGCATAATTGCTGGAGTTTGATGTGAAGATTTTGGGCTTCTTGTTCAATCTCCTGTATTTTTTACAATTTTTAAGTGAGTTGGTGTCAGGAGTTTAATAAGCTTATGATGGGACCACCAACAGGAGATGCTTCCTTGTGTGCACTGCACATATGGGCAGGAAGAGATCCCTGGGGCACAATTAAATGCTGATCAGCACTGGGATTTGTTTTATCCACAGAAGTGTGGAAAAATTCTATATTACTACTTCAAAGCAGTGCCAGATGCATTTAACACTAACAACATCACAGTTGTGAGTGTTACAGCTGGGAGCCAGGTACACACTGAGACAGCACGAGGTACAGGACTGAGGCGAGAGAGAAAAGTAAATTGAAGGACTTCTGGTCCTGAAGCCATGTGAAAAATGAAACAAACTCTGACACCATGAAGAAATCAGAAGGCTTATTTAAATTATTGTATCTGGAGCAGTCCCTACTGCATGAGCTGACAAGAGCCAGTGTTGACTTCCCTCTGGGAGCTGCTCCTCCGCAGAGCAGAAAGTGTGGGGAAAAAGGGTTTTAAGGTAAAGTGTGAGGCTGAAAAGGTTGTATGAAGCTGTGGTTACAGTCACAGTTGTAAGTATGAATGTGGGCTTCACTTTGCTGTTTTGGTTAATCTTCCCTTGCAGTGCTGTGTGGGGCTGTGCTTTACCAGGGCCTTGGAGAGCTCGAGCCCGGAGAGCCTGAACCACTTGGCCCCCTGAGCAGCCCCAGGGAGCTGATCTGGCAGGGCCTTGGCGAGCACCCTGACCGTGGCACTGTCCTGCCTTTCCACCAGCTCCCCCAGTCCTTGTCTCCACAGCTGGGCCCACAGAATGTGGGTATTTACAGACTGCTTGCAGTGGAAGAACAGTTGTTTCTGGATGTTTGGGAGCCTGGGTACTATCTGCAATTAAAATGTGAGTTCCGTGGTTAAAGGGATTAATGAGACAGCCCAAATGAGAACATTTCCAAAAAAGTGATTTTTGCAACTCTTCTGGATTTCATTAGAAACTTCTTATATTGTTCCTTTGATATAGAGTTAATCTCTAGAATGAGAATATTGTAAAATACACTACAGGCAGCAGTATGTAAATATTTCTTATGAGAGATAATATAAGTAGGATTAAACCCTCGTTGCCTCAGTCATGCAGCCAGTCCCATTGCATTTAAACAGGAATGCCATAGTGAAAAAAGCAAGCTGGATCGGTCCTATATGTGCTATTTCTATATTTCATTTTCATCTTGATTTCTGTTTCATTTGTAATTAACACAGTGTACTGATTAAATCATTAACTGTGTAGTTCATCTTTCATCAGCAGCTTGTAGATTGAGATCCTAATGTACTGTAACTCATTGCTAGGATAGCTATAAAATTTTGATTTATGAAGGCAAATATTTTCTGTTCTTGGTATCATTTGTGATCAAGAAATGATACAAACAAATTTATCTCAGATAATCACTTCCTCGTGTCTGACAGTGCTAGAAAACTCATCATAAGGATATCTGAGATAAAGGGGGGGATGAATTTTTAATTCTTTTGAAGCAAATTAAACTGAGCTTCTTTGAGGTGCAAAGTGTAGAGACTGGAGATTCACTGAAATAAAATGGGAAGTGCCCTTGCTTTCATACAGCTGCTGTCAGGATGGTGGCAGTGTTAGAGTCAGTCTCACTGGAAATTACTTTGAAGCTTTTTTTCTTCTTGTCCTTCTATCCCAGTTGCTAAAAGTCTGAAGTTTTAAATCTTTTGTCCTCTGGGTCCATCTAATTCAATAGTTGTCTCAGCAATTTTACATTGTAATATTCTAAGGAAAAACACCTGAGTGCAGTGTGGTAAATCCAGTACAGTGGAACAGTGTTGTGTTTACAAATTTTATTTTCTTAGCAATGTCTTATGCAGCAGTATTTTGGGTACCTCACAAAACTACTGCCATCTTCCCAGGGTGGCACATAGTAGTTCTTGGAATATCTTGGAAAGATATCCACAACCTTCCTGCTAGAGGCTCGTGTCCTAGAACAGATGTTACAGTACCACCTCCCAAACACACAGCAATTTATAGGGCCCATAAGTTGTGCAGTATTAACAGTACTTTATCCAGTAGATGCCAATGTTATACTTATTATTGCAATTAATTTTTTTGAGGGTATAAAACATCTCCAGCAAAAAATATTTTGAGTGCTACCATAGGATAAACAATCTCACAAAACCACCTCTGAATA